GGATCATAATTTATCAAAGGTGTAGATAGATGACTACTGATTGGTAAGAAAATAATATTTTGACAGAGGCAAACACTTGAAAAACACACGAGCGCTTGTAATTCTCAAGAGCTCAATTGTCGTTTACTAAATTCAGAAACTATAACTCCAACAACTAACTCAATGTGAATGTTACGTACAAGTCAATTCAAACACAACTTTGATATTCAATTGTTTGGAGAGTAAATGAACAAGAAAGTGACAAATAAGAGACAGGCAGGGAATATGGAGGTATAAAGTCCAAAAAGCACTTTTCTAATTAAAGGCCTAACAAGTCCTCCGATATACGTGTTCAAGAAATTTAAAACTTAAAAATGTTAACACAGAAGAGTACATGAATTATTGCTTACTCCTCTGGTCCTATTTATAGGACAGAGAGAGAAAGTTTTTTTTGTCCTATTTATAAGTCACTTCATTAAATTTTTACTATGAATGTACTATATTGTCCTTCATTTATTATAGTGTACATAGTTATTTTTTTTGAAATGTGTATATATTAAATAGGGGTAAAGTTGGAAAGTTGTTATATTTTAATAAAGAGTTAATACAGTTTAAGGTTTTCCTTAGTTTGTGTGAAACATATTGGAAGTGCCTTATAAATAGGACCAGAGGAGCATGTGATAAAATGGACAATTACATATGTGGAACTTGATATGATATAGGCCTATAGGGCACCCTTAATGCCACCATATATGCATGGCATGTGAGTCATTAGTGCATGTACATGTAGATGATGAGAAAAACAAGAGTATAGAATTTGAGAGAATCAACATTTGAACTCAATTTTCATGTTATTAAAGGCCCAATAATATCATCAATGCATGGAAGAGTTTGATGGGGCCATAATTTTTTAAATTAGGGCCCAAATACATTATGTAGTAAGCAAGAAGAGTTCTAAAACATGATGCAACCATATTCATGCACAAGCGCATGTCTAAAAAGTCCACACATCTTTATAAATGTAAATAATAACATGAATATTTATTTGAATTAAACATCCAATTAAGAAGAGTCAAGAAGCATATAAAACGGTCTTATATGGTATTAATTAGAATTTAATTTGATTTAAGTTCATAAGTTGCATATTTTATACTTTTTTATTTGTATTAATTGCTTTTTGAAAACAAAAACTTACTTATTTTACATTACACTAATTAGTAGAGCATCAATAAGGAATCTTTTCATTAATTGCAAGGATCCTGTGACCCTTCTCATTAATGATGAGATTCTTTTAAGTAATGTATGCCATCTAGATTATTTTATCCTAACTAATACTACCCAAAAAAAAAAAATCCTTTTTACACCACTTTATCTACGATGGTTATTAATTGGGCCAATGATATAATAAATGAAATGATAGAATTTTTGTAAATAATGATACAATGTTTACACTACATGTGTATGTGTCCAGTGTAATATTTATTGTTTAGAACGGATGTTTAGGGAACCAATATAAACACAGCTTATACACATTGGTTATGAAAAATAACCGGTATTAATAATATGAACATCAGGGAATTGAAGATGAATCTGTCTCTTTCGCTTTCATTCTCCTAGGGTAACGTGAGTGGAAGAATAGTATTTATTCCATCAAAGTGGTCACTAGAGGAAAAAAGAACATTCCACGAAAAACAGTAGTGAGCCAACATTAGGGAAACCCTCTACCCAAAAGATCTCCTAAAGCCAACATTTACGGATCAAATATCCTTTAAATAAAGGGAAAATGACAGATAAAGAAGGTGGAATATCTGAAATTCCAATTTAGAAAGCTAAGGAAATCTAATGACAATGAGGGAAGTACTTCCCAAATTGGAATTTTGAAATTCAATGAAATGACAAAAATGCCCTTTGTTTTTTTTTTTAAAAAAAAACACCCAACCTCTCACCGGTGGCTGGCCGCCGGCAACCACCGCCAGCAATTGGCCGCCGTCGGCCGGCGGCCGCCACCGCCGACGGCCGGTGTGGTGGCTGCCGGTGGAAGTTTTTTGTAATAGTTTTTTTTTTTGTGGGAGAATATTACAAGAAGTGGTAGGAGTGGGATTTGATCCCACGACCCCTTGGCCATTTGGGCCAACAAAAGGACAGATGACCATTGGGCCATCAAAGACTTCTTAGCCTTATAATGCAAACAAAAATATAAGTTAACTCTTTTACTGTGACTCCAGCTCGTGACAATAATTTACCTCAGGATGACAAGTCTTAATTGAGAAATAACAAGTCTAAATTTGATATTAACAAAGCGACTTTTCTTGATACATAATAAGAAGTAGCATGTATATTAATTAAAAATGACAATTTATTTGAAAAGAACACGTCTTTACTGGAAAATGACACGTCTAAACGTGAGATTAACAATATGTCTTTTTTTTTTTTATATAACAAGAAGTAGCATGTACATTAATTAAAAATGACCATAATTTATTTGAAAATGACACATCTTTACTGAAAAATGACAAGTCTAAACTTGAGATTAACAATGTGTCTTCTCCTGATACATAACAAGAAGTAGCATGTACATTAATTAAAAATGACCATAATTTATTTGAAAATGACACGTCTTGTTATGTATCAGGAGAAGACATATTGTTAATGCTACTTTTTGTTATGTATCAGGAGAAGACACATTGTTAATCTTAAATTTAGACTTGTCATTTTTCAGTATAAGACATATTGTTAATGTTACTTCTTGTAATGTATTAGGAGAAGACATATTGTTAATCTCAAGTTTAGACTTGTCTTGTTATGTATCAGGAGAAGACATATTATTAATGCTACTTCTTATTATGTATCAGGAGAAGACACATTGTTAATCTGAAGTTTAGACTTGTCATTTTTCAGTAGAAGACATATTGTTAATGCTACTTCTTGTTATGTATCAGGAGAAGACACATTGTTAATCTCAAGTTTAAACTTGTCATTTTTCATTAAAGATGTGTCATTTTCAAATAAATTATGGTCATTTTTAATTAATGTACATGCTACTTCTTGTTATATATATATATATATATATATAAAGGCATATTGTTAATCTCACGTTTAGACGTGTCATTTTTCAGTAAAGACGTGTCATATTTAAATAAACTGTCATTTTTAATTAATATATTGCTACTTCTTATTATGTATCAGGAAAAGTCGCTTTGTTAATATCAAATTTAGACTTGTTATTTCTCAATTAAGACTTGTCATCCTAAGGTAAATTATTGTCACGGGCTGGAGTCACAGTAAAAGAGTCAACTTAGATTTTTGTTTGCATTATAATGTTAAGAAGTCTTTGATGGCCCAATGGTTATCTGTCCTTTTGTTGGCCCAAACGGCCAAGGGGTCGTGGGATCAAATCTCACCCCCCACCACTTCTTGTAATATTCTCCCACACAAAAAAAAAACTATTACAAAAAACTTTCATCGGCAGCCACCACACCGGCCGCCGGTGGCGGCGCCCGGTGGCCGCCGCCAGCCGCCGGCGGCCAATTGCTGGCGGTGGTTGCCGGTGGCCGGCCACCGGTGAGGGGTTGGGTGTTTTTTTTAAAAAAAAAAAAAGATAAAGGGCATTTTTGTCATTTCACTGAATTTTAAAATTCCAATTTGAGAAGTACTTCCCTCATTGTCATTACATTTCCTTAGCTTTCCAAATTGAAATTTCAGATATTCCACCTTCTTTATCTGTCATTTTCCCTTAAATAAACTCACAAGGTGAAATGAAGGGAAAGAATAACATTATATTATAAGAGCGGCTCCTTTTTAGGCCCAACAATTCTTCATAACCCAAGATACTAGGATATGTGTGCGTGTGTGTGTATCAAATAACTATACTTACACATACACACATACGTGTAATATTATCTTTTTTAAACGTTAGATATCTAGTACTATTATTAAATACTAGTAAATTAAATTTGAGCATTGTTGAACTCAAATAAAAATTATCATTTAGGTTATCTTACCATGTGATTTTTTTCCATTCACAAGGAAGTACTAACATGAAAGGTTATCTTTACTTTATTAGCGGGGTGTATAACAAAAAGGGTTACTCTATTACAACATAATAAACCAATCCTCAAATCCTTCCTAGAAGAGACAATACCTCAAATAGGCTTCTAATGGGAAAATATATACTTGAGTTTGATCAAAAAATGTTATCTCTCTGTTTTATTTATTTATTTATTTTTGTAAAGCATATATATCTTTTTATTGGAAGTAACCTATTCAAGGGACTATCAGATACTAAATATAAGGACTTCTCCCAATAGAGATTCAAATATTGATTCACCACATTATAAGAAACTAGTTTATTTTGTTATTAGACCTAAGCGTGATAGTTTGTTAAGAGAAAGAAAGATATCTTTGTTTTAACTCTCAGTATATTCTCCAGGACCTCGAAGACCAAATGATATTAAAGGCCTCCTATGAAGCTTTTTAAGCTTGGGGTTGGTGACTTCAAACTTTCTATATAAAAATAAATATAAACACAACACGTAGTGCGTGAGTTATGAGAAAAAAATTTATTGGTATGTTCTCGTTTTGCAATGGGAACGTATTTGAAGAATGGTGAAGGAAATCTTTAGAAACCCGCTCTGGCATGTGTGGGCGGTGGCTCATCCACGACTGAGACAAAAAATGCCACATGCACCTGACGACTCTTCTAAAGGCATCCATCCCTTTTTAAAGTTTATTAAAGCATCAATTACTTTCTCTCCTTTCCTTCCTTGCCTCCTTAAAAACGCAGTGAACCACGTACAAAAATGGCAATCCTTTCTGTCTCTCTTCATCAATAACATACAATACTGGAAAGAGAAGTGGAATCTTAACCTGTAAAGTCAACAGAGAAAAAGACTAGCTTTTTCTTCTTTTCTTCTTTCCCTTTCATTCCCCTTTTTAATCCTCTCTTAACAACACACCCATTTCAATTCAATTCCCTACAACTTCATAATCATCATCTGTACGAACGTACCCAGAGACATATTATGGGTTTAAGCAATAACATCACTGCAACAGTCAACTTCATAGCCCTTTTAGCTTCAATCCCCATCATAGCGTCAGGTATTTGGCTAGCCTCCAAGCCAGACAATGAGTGTATCCATGACTTTCGTTGGCCCGTCGTCGTTTTGGGGATTATGGTTCTTGTGGTTTCTCTGTCTGGTTTTCTGGGGGCTTATTTTTACAGAAGAGGTCTTTTGGCCTTTTATCTTTTCTGTATGGCCTTACTTATCTTTCTGCTTCTCTTCGTTCTTGCCTTTTCCTTCTTCGTGACCACTCCTGATGGAAGCTTTCGTGTTCCTGGGAGAGCCTATGACGAGTATAAACTTGAGGGTTTTTCTGGTTGGCTTAGAAACCAAGTTACTAGCTCTGGGAAGTGGCATAAGATAAGTACGTGTTTAGCTCGTTCTAGTGTTTGTACTAAGCTCACACAGGAATATGCCACTGCTGATGATTTTTTCAATTCTAATCGTATTTCTCCTTTACAGGTGCGTAGTTTCCTCCTCCTTTTTCGTTAAGCTCGAATTTTGTCTCGAAAATTTTTATGCAAGTGTTGTGGGAATTTGAATTTTTTATTTATTTTTAGAATTAATATCTCCCTGAAAGTACTTCAAGAACCTTAAGCCTTAAACAAAAAAAACTAATATTGATGGTTAACATTTTTAACTGTCAGGGAGATATTGCTTCTTTTTTTTTTTTTAAACGCTTTGGGGATGATATTAATCCAAAAATGACTTTTGGATATCACAGCTCTTGTAAGTAAAAAATTTCGGGTGAAATTGAATCTTAAACTTAATTTCTTGGATAGCCTCAACATTGGTTTCTCTTTGTTATTACATCCCCCCCCCCCCCTCATTGGATATATGTGAGAGCAAGTTCTTGTTTTTTAAATCATCGTATTCTCCACCGAACTCTGAATCTTGTCTTTCGTAAAATAAACAACATATGAGGTTTTCTCATACTTGGTCTTTTTACAGGCTTGTTCGTGCCTTTCTTTAGTTCCATAATCAATTTAAAACATGTTGAATATTAAAAGTAATTTTATCATATACGAAATAAATATATGAAAAGAATTTTATCTCAACTTGCGTGAAAATATTTTTTAAAATTACTTTTTGATTATACCAAACACCCCTAAGACACATTGTGCTTGAATTTGAGGATTAAAGAGGGAACTCCCAAAGAATCCTCGTAGGAGGCTAAGAGCGAGTAAAAAATACTACATCTAGAACTTAATATAAGATTTATTTGACTAATTTAGGAAGATTAAAAAAATTAGTTAAGTTAGTTATTTATAATAACTATATATTGTCTTTTCTAAAATACTTTTGCTAATCTTGTGTATTAACTAAAACTATTATATGATGAAACTTTTAACATAATACTATTACAATGATTATTTTGTGAAAAAATGGATAAATATAAAAGACAAAATAGATTGAGGACTTATATTTAGAATTAAATTAAAATTCAAACTAGTTCTTATGCTCCTCTAGTCTTTAATATATATAGGACCTAATTATTAAATTAATTTTGATCCTAAATATAAGACTTATTTCTTATATTTATCAATTTTTTTCTAAATTACTCATATAGATACTCCTTTAAACATAATCAAGTGAGAGAGGGAGGATATTAAGAAAGATAATTATAATGTTTTAGGAAAAACATGTCATTTTTTTATAATTAACTAACTTACCCAACTTTCTTAATATAATCAAATTAATTAAATATATCTTATATTAAGGATAAGAGGTGTATTAAGGATCAGAGGCAGTATCAAACCTAGATTGTTAAATGCAATTTGACTGGTCAGATTAAGATAAGCATCAGCACTGAAGCTTAGTTGTGAAGTAAGTCGTTACGGGACAAGAGTGGATAAAGAAGACTGTGACTTTTCTTTGTAGGATCTGATATCTAGTTCTCTATCATGTTTAACTCGGCCCCACCGCATATGATAAAGGTTTCGAGGACAACTCTTCATAGCTCTCTGTGGAGTACATAGAGTACGCGGTTTTGGGGGACAAAAATTATAACGGTATTAAACATGAATCTAGATAATTAATTTATAAATATTAAAAAAAATTGTTAAGCTAGTAATTTATAGTAAATGTGTGCTGTTCTTTTAGAATGTCTCATTCAATCATTTACATTAAAAACTACACCGTTGATAAAAATCTTTTCTTAGTATCCACAACTAATAGAAACCATTTGAGAAAAATTATAAATTTAAAATACAAAATTGATTGAAATTTTACACTTAACAAACTCCTCAATTAGTACGATTAGAAAAAATACACTTCATTTACCTTACTTTATATATAACATAATTTATATCCAACGATGTCGGTTTCTTAATAAACACCCCAAAACTAGAGGGCGAAAGTGATCTTCTAGATTTAATCCACTATAAATGTTTGGAGGTGTTTATATTAGATGCTTATAAGTACATTTGTGAAAATCAAAACATAAACTTCTTTCACATACTTTGTTTTCCTTAAAATGTAATTAAAAAGCTACTTTTGAAGAATCCTACGTCCATTTCAAAAAAGCATCTCATGATGAATCATTCTCGAGGCATGATCCATTTTTAATTCCCAGAAAAAGTCCGTGCCAACTCAAAAGGCTACTCAGCATACGCATCTCTAGCTTTACCTTAAAATCATGCAAAATCTATTCACTGGGAAAAAAAAAATATCATGCAAATCCAGACAAACATTAAAATAATTCAAAGCACATTTAGTGATTTTTAATTGCACAACTTGTGAAAAAGTATGATCTGATTGCCCCACTCAAGTTTTGGCCAAAAAAAAAAAAAAAGATTGCCCCACTCACGCACAAAGAAGCTTACTTTGGCAAGCTAATAAACTTGTTGATTTTTCACTGTACAGTCAGGATGCTGTAAGCCTCCAACAGCGTGTGAGTACACTTATGTGAACCCGATATTGTGGGTAAACCCGGCCAATCCGATGGATAACCCGGATTGCTATATGTGGAACAATGACCAGATTCAGCTGTGCTATAATTGCAATGCATGCAAGGCTGGTTTGTTGGGAAACCTGAGAAGAGAATGGAGGAAAGCCAATCTGATTCTGCTTGTGGCTCTGGCTGTTTTAATTTGGGTCTATATCTTTGCCTGTTGTGCCTACAAGAATGCCAGAAGAGAGTCCCTTTTCCGCCATTACAAGCAGGGTTGTTTTTGAGTTTTGACCCATTTCTGATGCTTTTCTCAGTTTTGTTGTCTTCTACATTTGACCCAGTAAGATTTTGATGTGTCTGGTTTGGATCCTCCGAAATTCTCAAGTGTAAAATTTTTGTGAAGTTTGAAAATAGAGGACAGAATGGAAGAAAATATAAAATGTAACTGTAAGCTCCACTATGAATTTATAATCTCCAGGTCACTCTTCAAAGTCTACAAAAATTTCACAATCAAGGACTCCAAAGGACTCTTGCATGTAAGATTCCCGGTCCCCTGTGTGCGTCCTCTGAGGAACCCCTTTTTCTAGGATGCATGGTTCTAAAATAAATTATATGAATATGAATAAATAATCTCTCTCAAGCGGCAGGGAGCTTCCTAGAGTATACAATGTACAAAGGATCAGATCGTCCAGGATTAGGAGATATATCCACAGCCTGCAGAGAAGTTCAAAACAAAATTAAGCGTTGAAAAAGCCTCAGCTATGAAAACGGTATCATTATATAGAACTGCAAAGCATTTGGTTTAAAGACTCTGACATCAGAAATTTGAAAAATATGCTGCCCTGTGGAAATTTGTGGATGCAGATTCATTAGGCCTTAAGCAGAGTATATGAACATGCAAATGGCTAATTTTCTTCCATGTACGCATGAAAAGTTAATAGTATCTATTACCTGGGGAGGCTCAAATCCTCCAGCGTAATGGAAATATGACCCGACAATCATAACATGATCGGCATCCCCAGTTGACGTCCATATAGAAATTGCTTTTGTCCAGAACAAACGATTTGAAAAACTAAAATCATGAAACAATGAAATCATAGGCAGCTAAATAGGACATTGAAGATACAAGACTAAGAAAAGAGATACTACATGTGAAACAAAGAACAGGAACCACTGAAAATATGTCAATTTATACGGCACTTGTAATCAAAAAACATTTGTCCGCAGGCTGATACGTCTAAAATGATATGTTAGAGACTTTAGAGCCAGCTTTTGCCACAATAAAAGATGAAAAAGTATCAGCTATTATTATACCAATAAAACTTGCTCAAGGTAAAAGAAGAAAAACATAACAGCTGTAGTCATCTGTTTACCTTAATTGTTTACACAGACAGTGATGAGATATTAGGAAGGATTTAATTAATTATCAGTAATTTTATTAATGACCTTATTTTGTTTCTGTTTTGGCTTTCTTAGGCTATTTCTTATTCTATGCTTTGATTTACTTCAAGTGATATTCTCTTGCTTTTATTTTCAAGTCAGGGTTTATTTCATTTTAAGCCACTTGGAAATTTGGAATTCATTAGTAGTGATTATGAATCGCCTAGCTGTATTCAGTCGATGGAATATCCAAATATGTCACACTCCTAAGGCAAAGTACAACATCTCAAAGTTTTTCTTTTAAAATAATCAAACTGCACAAGTTTCATGCATAAACTTTATATCTAAAATGATTCCAAAAATGATTGTTGACAATATTATTACCTTATCATGGCCAATCCACCTGGTTTAAGTATCCTGCACATCTCTTTGAAGACATCAAGAGGCTTTGCTAAGTAATCAACACTGACCTGCCAGGCAAAGCGTCGGGTTCTGGAGAGTGTTAAACACTGGAGAGGTCTACTGCTATACTAAGAGAGAGTGGGTATAACATGTGAAAAGCTGAGCTATTTTCCCAGCAGAAACCACATACGAAGTATTCTCTCTCTTATTCCAACTGAACTAAGTACATCACTTTTTAATGTGTGCTAATAACACTCATATCAGGGTGGCGTCTAATAGATTCTAAGACAAACTTCAAACTACCCAGAACCAACATAATCTTCCAACGGTTAAGATCTGTAATCTTTGTTGAAAAACAGAATAAACAACATCAATTACATAAAAGTAAATAAACGATGAGGGCCCCGTCCATTGACATTATTGGCCTTTTAGAGAATAGCCCAATACCTTCCAACACAAAGATTTCAATTTTCAAACCTCTATATGGCAAACATCCAAGGCATGAGCGATGACAGAATTTGGACTCACTTCACAGTCATATTTCTTCAGCAACCATTTAATTATGAATAATGACCATCATTACAATTCTAAATTTGTGATTTCCGCATTACATGACTGGTTTTTTGTTAGGCAGCGGTAATGTTATTGAGAAGGAAGGCGCAATCACATCAAGAGTATTACATACAACTAGTGAGCAGTCTGTATTGGAGGAAATATCTCATTGTGAGATGAAACACTTTTATCTATAATTTTGACGCAAGTATAATCAGCATATAATGGAACTAGTAATCATGATGGTATAAGATATGGGAGCTCAATTACCTCAAGATTTGTATGACAGAATCCATGATGTAAAATTACAGTAACACTCAGAAAGAGAAACTTTTACTATAAAAAAGAAGATAAATCTTTGTCCTGACAAGAAACTAATGTGCAGACATCAATCCCATGTGTAAATACGAAAGTGGCACCACTTACAAAAGCAGTAACAGTTTTTTGAAATAGGAATAGATTTTGTACCACATTCGTAATGACGTCAAAGGAGTTATCCTCAAATGGCAGTCTGGGGTTCACATTTAAGTCTTGTACAACATACTCTGTAAGAACCTACAAAATCAACCCTTTTCATAAGTATAGGAGGGTTTAAACCCTTCTGATGTAACCCCAAAAAATTACATGGACATTATTAATGCCTGATATCAGATTTAAGAAGGCCACTGAGTTAGCAAGTTAAAGATAGCTTAGACAGTTATGTTTCTCTTGCAGAGTAGAACTGCTGCGTTCTATACATCCATATTATTCAAAATTTAAAATAAACAATAGCCCAAGCTTTAGACCTATAATCAAGTGATATGATTATGTATGAATATGGATAATCAATTTAAAGTAAAGTCAGACTGCAAGACACTGAATTTTATCGTAGTTAAGGCCAGTTGCTACCACATAGAATATAGGAATATCATCTTACAGGATTTCTCTTCAGCTCTTCTTCATTCATTCCTAATCCCACCACTCGTTCTTGTTTGTATCCTGGTGGAAAATGGCTGACCTAGTGCATAGTGAATATTTCAATAGAAATATGCAACACAAGAACTAACTAGATTATAGTAAGAAATATCTTACCCAACTGCTGCACATATCTAAGATGCTTACACCTGGAGTGTTGCTAGGTGGAAAAACCTTTGAGTAATATTTAGTAAGAGCAGAAATTGCAGGGTCATCAATGTGTGTCACAAATCGAGGTGCTTCATAGAACAAGGAATCTGGAGACCTAAAGGGAAAATTTTCATGTCACAGAAAGCACAAAAAGATAAAAAGAGGGGAAAACTTCAAAAGAATAAGAACCCACAACTTGGCTGACAAACAGTGAGAAGCCAAAAGTAAAGAAATTGATCCAGGGAACAAAAAAGTGCGGAGAAAATAGAATATACACTGAGTTAATGTCATTCGTTACTCAAATTACATGTAGTAAAGGGTAATAATTTCTAAAATCCTTCACAGATAAGCCAACTTCTCTTACTCCATGCTATGGAACTGCAGAGCAAGACCCACGATTTTCAGACACTATGGTCAATCTCAGTTATATATGATCCAGAATTTCCATATATATTCAAGTAAAACTAATTAAAAGCCCTTCATTAGAATATTAAACAATTGTAAGAGACATTACACAAAACAAATTTACTTCTTCTAGATTAAAAAATAAACTACATATAATCATAAATTCCTTAGGCAACTAGTTGCGAAATTTACTCATCAAAACGCTGGAAGTCCTCCTCCTTGAAGGGAAACTGCTCCGGCCATTCCACATTCTTCAGTAACTTCATAATGGAATAAGTTGCAAAGTATTAGAATAGGCAATAAGATAAAATTTTCAACAAAAAATTTTGTAACAAGCAAAACACAGCTTTAGAGCATCTTTAGATTTCAGTTTGACATTTTTTTGCCACATAATTGAAGTTTGTCACTGGAGGAGATGTTGACGGTGGCACAATGCTCAGTTAAAAATATGATTTTTTTTTTAATTACATTTATTGTTTAACTATCATTCATCAATACATCTATCCCTTGGAAGCAAACTATCAAATTTACATAGAGCTCATTAACCAACTCTGAAGCCAAAAAAATTCACTTAATGCATCAGTACCAAGTAGTTGAGACGAGTGGGAATTACTCCTCCCCATTTCAAGCATTAACCAACTCTGGCATTCATCGGTTCCTCAAATTCGAACCAACGAATGCCAGATATTTGTCAATGGGAAAAAATTAACCAAATATAAATTCACGTATTTGATAACAGAGATACCAATTAAGTAGAAAAACTGAAGTCGTAGAAGAAGAACACGTCGAATTGCGAACTAATAAGAAGTGATACTACCTCATCAACGGAGGAACTACCCTTAATCCTGGCAGACGCAACGAAGGACCTACTGCCGACATTTCCAGCCATACTCATAAAATGAAGCAAGAATGAAGAACCCACACCCAGCACCGTGCGACGAAAAGCTTTACCTCCGTTACTCCATTTCTTCACACCGGTGACGGCGGGATATAAGGATGAACAAGTACAACATGGTCCAGCGACTCCGCCAACAAAAGTTTGCCTCCAGTGAAGCCTGAGACCAAGAAAACTGGTCATCTTGGACCTTCGCTAGGCCGTGTCACGCGATGATGATCCCCTTGGAAGTTGGAACTGTGGATGAGAGAATGGAACGGTCAGCGCTGGACAAATCTTCCAACGTCATTGATCTGGCATACAAGTGATGGACATACAATTACGTGGCTTTAGGAGATTCTTCTATTTTATTTCTTTTAATTTTTTCCCTCCGAAATGAAATTTCTTTATTAAATTGAAAAATCACAAAACAACCTTGAAAATGCAAAAATCCGAAATGTTGCATTGAATCTTTACCGGGGAGGTGACAGATAAACACCGTGAAAATTGAATGGATTCTTTACAACATTTTAATATTACTTTCTATTCTAAGAGCTTTTTTTATTTTTATTTTAGTTCTAAATATAAAATTTCAATCTATTTTATCTCTTATATTTATTTATTTTTAATATAGTTTTTGTAATAATGATAATTCTAATTAATATACTTGACTAGTAAGAATACTTTAAAAAAAAACAACACTTATTTATTATAAATAATTAACTTAACTAATTTTTTTAATTTATTCAAATTAGCTAACTAATTTTTATATTAAACACCGAAAGTAATAATTTTTTATAACAATTGACCTGCAAATAACAACATGTTTTTGTGAGAATTTTAAGGTCTTTTTTTTTTATTATCATTTTCTCATTGTCATAATCCAAGAACATTTAAATGGGATAATGAAAATCAATCAAAAAGACAAAAATAGCCATTACTGTAGAAAAAGTCACGGGCACCCGGAGCCCTTGACACCTCTTTTTTTGTTTTTGGGCCAGCCCTTGACACTTCTGTAACAACTACAATTTTTAAGAAGATCGCCATTACTAATATGTCGTTTTTTTAGTATAAATTAACCATTCTACCTGCGAGGTTTACTTCCAATTTTTACAACGCTTTTTGAAAAAGATAATGTGTTAATCGAATCTAGTTTTCAAAAGATTACTTTCACATTTTCCAAGTTAACATGTTAAGTTGTTAACGTACACACCAAGCACTGCTGGTCAAAAAAAAAAAAAAAAAGAACGTACACTAGCACTTGCAATTGATGAGAAAAAGAAAACCAACTTTTTTATAATGTCTCTTTATTGTTTTCAACGACTATAATCTTGATTCTAATGACTTGTTATTAGGAAAGTTTATGAATATCACCGCATTTAAGCTGGTTGGTGCAAGAATTAAGTGTGAAATATTTGAACATTCACATTTTTATCATTGTCATTTAAAGCTCGCTATACTTTGATACGTTTCAAAGGCTGTATTTCACTTTTCTAAGAGTAATTTAGACCAAGGAACAAAAGAAAAAGACCAACACTAAACTGATTGAGATAGTAATTCAAAGGTTAGTCAATCAACTCAGAATCAAACTATTCATACTAAAATAATATATTTTAATTGTAAATGCAAAATACAACAACATTAATAATTACTAATAACAAAATATAAGGGAATACAATAATAGTTTAATTATACCAATAACAAAGTACAATAATATTAAAAATTTTATTTTTAGAATTCTTCAATAACTAAAATTAATAATTATTAGTACTAAAATTATTATTAAAATTCATTCAAATTGTAACATACTATACTAAAAAAAATTGTAAAAAATATATAAATAAAAAAATTACATTATTATTATTAAAAAATTAAATTAAATTAAATTATTTCTTAAAAAAACCAACTTTTCCACCGAATTCGGTGGAAAAGTTGTATGTCATTAATTGAGGAAGGAAAAACGAGACAGGGGTAGTTGGAAGGGTGGTTGGAGGATGGAAGAATGCTAGAATAAAAGAGAGTGAGATCTAGAAAGAGAGAGCGACAGCCAGAGAAGGAGAGAACAAGAGAGAGAGGCAGAGGTGTTCAGCCATTTTGAAGAGATTACAAGTTTTGAAGATTATTTAGGTACATCAAAATATTTCTTTTTGTCAATTTTTTTTATAAATATTTTCTATATATTTAAATATTTACATTGGTAGTATCATTATAACATTTAGAGAAAATTTTACGGTTTGGATATAGAGTAAATAGTGAGTTTTGATAATATATGACCATAGAAATTTAAAGATACATTATTAGTAAATTTTAATCGGTTTATATTTGTTTATTGATTTTTTTTGACAATTTTAAATTAAGATTTTAGTTAAAAAATTTGTTATTCAAGAAAAGAATGTTTTTACCAATTAGATTTAAGTTAAATAACTTATTTGGGTCACTTAATATATTATTGGGGTTTTAATCGGGTTTGAATATTGAATAGGTTAAAGATATATTGTTGAAATAATTTCTGAAGACTTGAAAAATTGTAAATTGAGAATTTTATAAAATTAAATAAATTTAAGGTTTATTTATGATTCAAAGGAGTTGTTTGGGTTGAAAAATTTTAATTGAGACTATAATAAATAATTGAGATTTTAATATGAAATTTAGATTTTAGGTAATAAATACACATTTATTTAAGTTATTAAATTTAAATAGTCCTATATAAAAGTTTTATTTTCAAATAATATTGTATCTATTATAAATAATTCACCTTGTGAAAGTTAATATCTTTATATTTTTTTAGTTTGAAGAGTAGTCTTAGAATTTTAGAATAGTTTTAAGTTATATGTTAATAAATATTTATGTGCAATTTTTTAGACTCTTGAAAATTTTAGAATAATCATTGTGTGATTATTTGTAAGCTAAAAAATAGTAGATAACTCTGAAAATTCTTTTATGTACATGTGAATTGTGTATGATTATATTATGAATTTACTAATTTTTATTATATCATACTGAAATATATGTATATGTCATGAGTTTTCAAATAAATGTTTTCATATATTACTTTATTTTGTTAAGATTTATTGCTATTAATTATGATCAATATTTAAATATATTGATAGTTTTTGAATTATAATGAGTTGCTGTTAAATTGTACAGAAATTTTATTGTTATCTTATTTTAATAATATATTTACGGATGTATTTTTGGTGTAACATTATTTACATATAACATGTATTGTTGGGCTAAGAATAGAATGAGATATACATGGATATACAATTACCATGTGGTATGCTAACACTCGGTGCATAGTGGATGACACTTGTGAGAGTCTCTTATTCGATGTTTTTTTTTTTTTTGCCGGGAATTCATTGGAACTGTGAGACATGTGACATCTCCTTATTTTATTTTTAAAGGAGGGGAGCCATAGTCCAAATATGATTTCTATGGCTCCAGTCAATGATATAAGGATGGACGGTGATATAAGGGAGGTTGCATATTGTATTATTTTTTGATACAATGAAAAATGAGATTTATATGTACTTAAATTAAGAGTTAATTTAGTTTTATGTAAAAATCCATGGTTTCCATATACAAATATGTATACATATAAACGAATTTTTGTTTGTCATATATGGCTTTGTCTATATAAGTTAGAATTTCAGTAGTTATTGAGACATTAAATCTCATATCTTATATTAATATTTTCAGGTGAAGAATCTAGTAGGAATCAAGGAAAAGCACAATGGAGTGAGCCGTAAAGACTTTTGTACTCTTCAAGCACATGCTATGTTATATTTTTATTTGCCATGACTATAAGACTTCAATAGTTTATTTTGTTATCGCAAAAAAATATTTTGAACTTATGACCTGTTTTGAATGCTAGAAATATGCCTGGACTGTTAAATAAAGTATTTTTATCGCGTATATGGATATAATTATATGAGGTGTTATATTTTTTGTATCAGAGCTATTACATTCCATTGCTTTTTATTTGAATTTTGTTTGAAACATTTTTCTTGCAAAAATTTTGCAACAAAATTTCTAGAGGTCATGGCTATTTAAATATAATAATATGTACAATTCTCTTTATTATAGATTGAAAGTTTAATTTAGCGACACTATTTTGTTTACCCAGAGTACCCTTGTGCTTTCCAATATAGGAGGGGAAAATGGTGACCACTCAAAGGATTAACTTTACCACAGTTCTAAATCAAGATGCTCTTTCTCGCCAAGATAATAATGCTATTTTGTGAGAGTTATGAGATTTTGTTGTGAGTATTAATCGGAGAGTGAATAGACATAAGGACAAGCTGGTGAAAATCAAAGGTCAATGTAATAGTCATCAAGAAGAAAATAGCCCTGGTGATGATGAAGCTCCCAGTGATCCCCAATCAATAGGTGATACCCTTAGAGGCACTGAATTGAAAGTTAATAACAGTTCTCAACACAACTTCGCACGTATCACCCTGCTCAAGAAAAGTTTTAGAAAGTTTAATCCTTCTAAGTTTCATGGCAGCCTGGATCCATCTGAAGTTGAAGAATGGATCGAAAGACTAGAGACAATATTTAGAATAGTAGTTTGCACCTCGTAGGAAAAAATGCAAGTTGTTGAGTAGCTATTACGAAAGGCAGCAAGGAAATAGTAGGACAGTATTAAGTCTTTTAAGAGTGCAAAGATAACTTGGGAGAAGTTCAAAGAGAAATTCTTTCTACATTATTTCCCTAATACTCTTAAAGCTAATCAGGAAGCAGAATTCTATGCCTTCAAGCTAGGAAACTTAAATGAGTAAGACTTCGTCACTTGATTCCTTGAGTTAGTCAAGTACACTACTTATCCGCAGATGCAACATAACCGAAATGGATGGCTGATAGGCTATTGGAAAAGGCCAGGCCAAAGTTAAGAACAGCCTTAACACCATTTGAAAATGATGATTTTGAAAAGATGTGCACCAAATTACGTATCATTGCTAGAAGAATGTGAAAAAAGAAGCTGAGAAGATGAAGGACTCTTATACTAGGTTCAGTTCCATTCATGAGACCTACAGGAAGAATTGGCAAGAAGAGTACTTATAGCTTTAAGGGCTCAAAGAAGCGGTTTAATCTACCCTCAAGAAATCAAACTGGTGGACCTTCGAGAAGTCAATTTAATGGACCCTTAAGGAGTCAATCCAATAGACCTCTAAGGAGTCAGATTAGTGGGGGACAAAACTCCTACAGGGACTCTATAGCTCCTATCACTAGTACTACCATAGCCAAAAGTATTCCAACTGTGGTAAGTGCATC